AAAAAAAAAAAAAAAAGCCAGTCTGTGGCCTGGTGGTTCTGTGAGCTGAATCCCACATGGCCAACTACGTAATTCAAATCTCAGATCCAGTGGCTTGGAAAACTCACCAGGCATGTGTGTGTGCCCTAAATAAGGAAATGAAGGAGAAATGGAGGAGAAAGGATAAAAGTGTACTTTCTTGCTCTCTCACCGTCTCTCTCCACCACTTGCCCTCTAGCAAAAAAAAAAAAAAAAAAGGTAAAACTGAGTTTTATTCAATCAGAAAATAAACTAAAACAAAGAGCTATTCGTAAGTCCCACTACCCTAGGGACACCATCCTGCAGCTAGGAAGGATAGCAGTGTCCCCACGGAGCAGGGCAGGCAGTTTCAGAAGAGATTTTGTTATAAGTCCAGACTAAACCAAATATTGGCCTTTTCCACCTCCAAGGGGCTCGGGAATTATGAAATGGAATAAGGTGACCCTGGGCTCCCGTGTCAGGGACGCTGGGGCTGTTGTCTGCCTCCCTGACCTCTGCTTTGCCCAAACCAGGCATCTCCTACAGTGCCCTTCCCATGTACCTGGGAGAACTGGCCCCCAAGCACCTGAGGGGCACGCTAGGAACAATGACCGAGGTTTTCGTCATCTTTGGGGTCTTCTTGGCGCAGATCTTCAGCCTCCAGGCCATCCTGGGCAACCCTACAGGTAACCCGCAGCACCCACAAGTCAAAGGGGGAAGGGCTGGCACCACAGACATGCCGATCCAGCACCTCGCTCAGCTGTGCCCAATGTTACCAATGGACAAAGTCAGTGAGACTGGAGAGGTGACCTCTGGGCTGGGCAACGTGCTCTGTAGTGGAGGCTGATAATCCCATTTACCCAGGTGTAGGTCTTACCTGGGCAAGCAGAATCTAGGAACTAAATGAACACAAGGCAGATGAACAGGAGAAAAGCATACACGTTTATCATAGTTTAACCATAATTTACCACAGTTTACCATAGTTTACCACAGTTTACCATAGTTTACCACAGTTTACCACAGTTTACCATAGTTTACCACAGTTTACCATAGTTTACCACAGTTTACTATATTTACCATATTTACCATAGTTTACCACAGTTTACCATAGTTTACCACAGTTTACCATAGTTTACCACAGTTTACCATATTTACCATATTTACCATAGTTTACCACAGTTTACCATAGTTTACCACAGTTTACCATAGTTTACCACAGTTTACCATATTTACCATAGTTTACCACAGTTTACCATAGTTTACCACAGTTTACCATATTTACCATAGTTTATCACAGTTTACCATAGTTTACCACAGTTTACCATAGTTTACCACAGTTTACCATAGTTTGCCAGTTTACCATATTTACCATATAGTTTACCACAGTTTACCACAGTTTACCACAGTTTACCACCGTTTACCATAGTTGCGCATGTTCACAGGGACTCCTCCAGAATGTGCCAAGTCTGAGGAAGTGGTCAAAGCAAGATACTTTCACACTTTCTAGGCAAAGAACGCTAAACCTGTGAAGAAATGACAGGATGAAGGGCTCTCTACACCAGGGTAGCATATTCTAGGGAATAAGCTGAGAGAAACACGAGGGCATGAAGCTAGTGGAAGACGAGGGTTATTTGGGGGAGTTTATTTATTCGGGTTCACTGCAGCCCGACTACTCGCCTCCCAGTGACAAGGGCTGTTTTCTCGCTCTGGCGTGGGAAGACCTCCCTCCCAGGGGAATCTTTACGGCTCATTGTGTGTGGGAAAGAACCAGCTGGTAGCCTTTTCTGCAGCTACCG